TATGTGATAATCGATATTACTAAAATTAGAAAGTTGAAATCATACATACATACAAATGTACTCTATGTACTAAAATCCAATGTGGTCAGCAAAGTGGTATGACAGTTATACCACCGCTCAATGACAAACCTGGAACGTCAGTGTGCGGTGGTATGACAGTTCTACCACTTTTCCTACCCCTACAGAATTTTTCAGAAGGGATGAAAAAAAATTTTGAAGCGTTTTTTGTGCTTATCTTTATCATTAAATTTGAACCATAACATTTTTTTTAAAAAAATGAAATTTTTTTTTTCCGTGCAACAAAGGGTTAACGCGTAGCTTAATAAAATTACTGCTGCAAAAAAGAGATGTTGAAACTATGGATAGTATAATAGGGGATAAAAGAAATGTCCGTAAGAGCAACTATATATGTAAAGTGGAAAGTTTTGATAATTGTTCCATAGTAGAAAGTAGTTTTCTAACTTAGAAAATAGTAAAATAACCTCCTCGCTGATCCTATTAAACCCGGGACAATAATAACTTGGGATCGTTGATCGTCTCTAAAACCAATCTATACCTAACTCATTCATGACTGATGACATCTACTTAAAGACAATAAATAGACGGATAAAAATACATCCATCCCTTTGAGAAACTTACTTACTTTAAGAAGATGTTTTGGTGCTCTAGTAACTAGTTTAGGTCCGATCAGTTTTTCTTTTTTCAAAACAGTCTCTATTTCTTTTGAATAATCAGACACTGCTGGTGTAGTTTTTTTGACGCTCATGCCTTTTAGAGTAGTGGAAGGAGTAATTGTGGTCGAATTTTGATTAGTAGAATTTGAGGTTTTAGTATTTTCCCGTTTTATCGACTTCCTTTCAACCGCTTCCATAGTTACAAATAAACAAAACAGAACTCGGATGGTGATCCAGACCACTCTTGAGCGTAACAATCGTAACATGTTCAACGATTGTAATTGCGGTTTTTATCTGACACTTTAAATCTAGAAAGAAAAATCATCAGTAAAAAACCAACCAAGTAAATAAAGTGTCTATCTAAATGTTTATAATAAATCGATCAGAAACAGAGTTTCCTCAAAATAACACACGATTAAATAGTGGTGAACATCAACGTATGAACTTAAAAACTAGGTAGTTTGGTTTGCATGAATATAACTTCCCGCCGTACTTAATTTTCAAGTTAAAATAATAATTTTCATCTAATCTTGGAAAAATTACGGCGGATTCAATAAATAGCGTTTATATTGTACCCACATAAAATAGGCATTGAAAAACTTGCAACGTCGCAAATCAAGGAATGAATGTTTTTCATATCACCGATGGTGACGAGAAAATTTAAAACTGCACCCGCGCTAGAGTGTGATTTCAGCTAGCGGTAATCGTGATCTTCTGCCATCAAGTCAAACTGTCAAAGTTATGCTGTTGAAGGCGCTCTGAGCAACTATACCACCGTAGAAGTATTGCACAGTATCAGACTAAAATGCAGGCGCACTAATTATCCTATATCCCAGCTTACTGGATTTATTACCTTCTCAGTATGGTAAATCTGTGACATTGTTATACACGACGCAGAAATTAACTGCCAATGGTGGTCCTAAATGGAAGTACTCTCTGAAGTCTTTAATGTTGAAAGCCTCCCGAACTGGGCCATATGTGCTAGATAAATAAGAACAATAATATATTATGAAAATAAACCGTAAGACTTGATTTAATTACGAGTAATTCACGATTTATACCTCATTCATTTGTATATCATCGGAATGGAGAATTTGCACGCAATTTTTTTATTGCTTCATCTGAAAGTGCCTAATGAGCTGAGTTCGCAATATTTTTCATAATTTTTTTCTGACATGGGAAATTGGAGAAAAATTGATTTAAAAGTGAGAAAATGCGCCGCCTTGTGACGTCATCTGGCGGCATTTCCCATTTAAACACATGTATTTTAGCAGAATCGGTTATTTTGTCATATCTTCTCTAATAATCGCTCAATTTATGAATCGAGGGTATCTTCGTGTTCAGTTCACTCAGAGGATTCCACTTAAACAGGAAATTCATCAAATTTCAGACCCTTGCAAATTCTCCATTTGCCCTCTTAAAGTGTATTATTAATATTTAAGTTTGCAAACAATTTGAACTCAAGTAATCTTATTTTTGACCTCTGGCTATAATGATTTTGTTGCACTGTTTTAAGTTCTGGCATTTTCAGAAAGTACATTTTCCGGTTTTAGGACATTTTGTCAACGATTTATTGTCCGCGCACCTTCTTTGTCCAGTAGTTTACGCCCCCACGTAAAATAAGCAACAGTGACTTGGTCCAAGCGTTATATTTTAGTCCGTATGTAAAACTATATTGACAACTAGCCGTGATAAGCTCTCTTTGCGAGCTAACACGCCTGGCCGGGGAGATCCCCTGGACCCCAGTTCTTCGCTTCGCGATGAACTTGCGACTCGCTCCGCGAGCCGCCACCGCCCCACATTCTTTTTAACATCGATGAGAAGACAACATCTTCGTCTTCATCTTCTTTTTCACCAAGTTTTACAGAAATTGATGTTCCAGGAGCCGGGACCGCATTATATAGCGTGGCCGCCTCCTCGGATTTAGAAATGTTTAAATCTGACCAAAAATTGACCCGCTGAAAAATACCCCCCGATACCGAATTTCACGAAAATCGATCGAAGTGAAGCCAAGACATCATATGAGGCCACGGCTGCCATCGTGGATTTTAAATTTTTGAAATCGGACCAAAAGATCAAGTTTCCCGTCGAAAAATACCTGTTCATGCCGAGTTTCACGAAAAGCGATTGAAGAGGAGCCGAGATAGCATTTCAGGCCAGAGCCGCCATCTTTGATATTTGAATTTTGAAAGCCTGACCAAAAATTTGAGTTTCCCCTCGAAAAGTACCCCCGGATACCGAGTTTCACGAAAATCGATCGAACAGGAGCCGAATGAGCATTTTAGGCCACGACCGCCATCTTGGATTTTGAAATTTTAGAAGAAGACACCCTGACACCAGATTTCACAAAAATCCGTCGAAAAATACCTCCTAAAACCTGAAATTTCGTCTATAAGGCTGTGACGTCACGTGACAGGATTGAACCTGTCCGGCGCGGTGCGCGTAAACAACCACATATCCCCAAATCAATACTATAGGGAGAAACAACTTTTCGTCGTTGTGGACGTCCTAGGCAGCGGATTGGAATCAGAATAATTTTGATCAACTCCTCACAACAATAGTTAAGCGTGCACCAAGTTAAAGGAAATCGATTCGGCCAATTTTTCGCTAGAGGGGGGGGGGGGGGGGCAGAGTGAGTGGTAACATCAGCTTTATATAGAGGCATGTGGAAATGAGAAATTGAGAGAGAAGGAGGTGTTGTTATGGTTGCTCATTTTTTAAATGAAATTTTACTTTCCCCTTTCGATTCATCTTTTTAAATTGTCATGGGTGAATATTTGGTTTTAGTTCTAGCCTTAAAATTTTCGATGTACAATATATACCTTACATATGTATAGGTACTTTTTTTTATTTTTTTAATTTTTTCTGTACGAAATTATTACTTCATTTTGAGAACATTTATATTTTTAAAACGTGACAAATATTTGTAAAACCTTTTCCAAGCGACATTAATCTCAATGAGCCATGGTTGTGCCGACAGAAACTGCAAAAATGAATAAAAGAGGAAATAAAACCAAGAAGCACGCAATCTTTAGTTTTAACCCATTTGTACAACGATCTTTTAGAGTCAAATAAGTCAAATTTTGAGCGTTTGGTTGCGCGTACACCTCGCTGCAAGCACAGTAAAAGTACAAAATGTAAAAGAAAAAATTAAAGTGCTTTGGAAATCATTAAATTCGACACGGAACCACCAATATTTAAAAAACACACATTATATTATTATTCTCCTTTGACAAATTGATACATTTTTTTTTTCATCAATTTAAATGAGAATAATCAGTGCAGAGTGTGCAAACATTTCAAAATCGGCATGAATTTAAAAACGCTGACTATGCGAGTATAAATATTAGAGCCTGACAGAGTGGAGCGGCGTGCTGCCAGCGTGAGAAGCTCACTGACGCCTACAAACCTAAGTGGATACTTCAAGCATTGTGCAATGCGTGAAGTATCCACTTAGGTTTGTAGGCGCTAGTGAGCTTCTCACGCTGGCAGCACGCCGCTCCACTCTCGCCTACAAACCTAAGTGGATACTTCACGCATTGCGCAATGCTTGAAGTATCCACTTAGGTTTGTAGGCGCCAATGCGCGTTACGCGCTGATATGACCGCCCGCCCGTCGTGCGGCGGCGCCTGAAGCAACTATTTCACAACAGAGGTGTTGCACGGTATTATACGAAATTGAATGTATTAAGAATGATAGGTATCCTTTAAAAGTACAGATCTTTCCTCGCAAAATAAATCAAGATGCTTGTCGTACACAGGAAAAATCTAAGAGCCTTTAGCTGAGGCTAATCAAGAGGTT